CGTGTGGCAGTAACAACACGCCACATAGCATCATCACCATCAAAAGGGGTGGCTTCAAAACTGGCTGCTTTGTCGTTCATTTTCTCGTATTTTTTCCATAATTCAGGAGGGATCGGTGTCATGCAATTTCTCGCAGACAATTGTTCTTCTCTATAGAATTTAACAGTTTTGCGAAAGGTTGCATCGATCAAGGCCCTAATTGGTAAAAAACGGATCCCTTTCAACGCATTGTTGTAACTCTCAGAAATGTTGGTTGTCGCTATGCCTCAACGGCGAAGATCGGCTTTCAATCGAGCCCAGTTACTCCCTCCAATCCCTCGAAGATACTCCCATGCAGCAGGTTTGAATTCAATAAGCTCTGCCCTCATACGGTTGTATTTCACTCTTGAAAGCGTCGTGCCCATCTTCCAACATAACCGCTTCACCTTTTTGCTATTATATCGCGACACAATATTGCTGCGAACGTGGCGGAGGCAAAGAAAGTGGCCACCATCACCTAAATCACGCCATTCATCTATCTGTGACATTGAGCTCAACAACCCTGCATTCCGGTCGGATATCACACTTACGATTCTATCATACACAACCCACAACCTCAAATTCCTCATAAAAAATGTCCAACTCTCTACTGTCTCCTTATCCACAATCGCAAATGCAACCGGTAAAATGTGCTTGTTTGCGGTATAGACCACCGCAACAAGCAATTTATCCTTGTATCCACCACGCAAAAAGGTTCCATCGATACAAATGACCGGTGGACATTCAAAAAACGTCTCAGCCACCGGTGCAAATGATCAGAAGACGTATTTAAATGTCCTATTTCCCCTGTTCCAACCTTGTTGTCCCTCCTTCCATTCCCACTCTACTATAGTCTCAGGATTAGTAAACTTAAGGGTAGCGATATACCTACACAACAACAAGTCATTGTTAAAATATTTCAATACATGTAAAAATAAAAACACTAAAAATATTTCAATACACGGATAAAAGTTGATATTTACCGTGGAAGTTCTTCGAAATTCGAGGTCCAATCACTATAGACCGCTTCTATGGCTTTCCTCCTCCCGTGCCACGCCCTTTTGTATGGCACATCTACTTTCAATATGGTCTTCACATCTTTCTGTGCCGAGGCTACCGTATAATCTACGTTGTCCTCAACCTTTCTCCTGATGAGTCTAGCAATCAAAGACGCGTCCACACACCGATTGTCATTATCATTCACAGGAGTCATGCAATTATGTGCATCATGCCATCTCACAATTTCATGAAGGCCGTGAGCTTTCAATGACACACGCATCCTCCACTCACATGGTGGTTCACCATCCTCACTTTCCATATTAAATGTTCTGCACCGCACAGCCCACGTCCTTAGACTACTCGCGGCGACCGTATATTCTTTTTTATGATGGATGTTCCATAATTTCACAGCATGCTTTGCTTGTGATTGAGATTTGAAACAAACACCAATGTCCATTCCTTCGGGCGTCTCATCCCACATCTTAAGAGCAAACTCATCCTTGTCCACACATGAGGCATCCCAGTTCCCCATCTTACTATATACATGGCGTCGGGCCAATGGATTACAATCCCTTTCCTCATTTTTCAATAATTCATCATCACTTTCTTCAAAATCACTCTCTCCGGAGACATCACAGTCTTCTTCGCTTTCACTTGGAGCTATGTAGTCGGAATCCGACTCTTCCCGGTAGTCATCTTGAGCAAATAAAGGTGTCTCCTCTTCATCACGGTTTCGAGAAGTACTAGCACGTTCCCCCCTTGGAAAACCACCAAATGACACGTTTTCCAAACTCGCTTCTCTTTCTTCTTCAGTGATATCTTCCAAATCTATGTATAAATCCAAACATGACACTGGATCTACACGGTTCATGAACTCTACATGCGAATCATTCTTGATCTTCACTACACGCCTATCACCGGGACTATCGAAAATCAAAGAAAGGTGGAGTTTCACGTGTTCTGGATCCCAACCAAGTGTCATACAAATCTTACTAATCAATCCCTCATATGACAACCTTTCTTCGACAAACAAACCATCATCCGGCATATTCGAAAAAGTTTTGATGCTACCGTTCTCTATCACATACTTACTTGTATGATACAAATTAAGCATGTATGATACATTACGTGCCATTGATAACTGTTAAAAAAAAATCAATAATAATCATTTCTTAATAACAAAATCAACAAATACACCATACATACTCCATTCATAATTCAAAAAACCTATAAAATACTAAAATACTTATAAATCAACTTCGATATCTCATGAACAACTATGATTTCTCATCTCTAACCTCAAAATCAACACCTAAAATTTCTAAACAACCAACCAACATAGACCCTAATCTATCATACATCATTCTAACAATCAAAATAACACAAGACTAAAATAAATAACATGGTTTTGCAATCTAACCTCTTTCAAATAACGATTTCCACGTATCTAGAGGCAAGAATGCATCAAAAACTCCAATTCGCCCTTGTTTGAGCTGCAAAAACAGAAAATCCAACTCAGTTCTCGAATGAGAACTGCTTGAAATTTTTTTTCTTTTATAGCACGTTAAACTCGGATTTACGAAATCCGAGTCCGTAAGTAACTCGGATTTTTGAAATCTGAATTACATTAGTTTCAGATTTCATGAATCCAGATTTAGTCAATTCAGGATTATTTTATTCATTTTTTGGTCCTCCAATTTATGGCACATGCCTATTTCCACCAACCAAAATTAAAGGCAGCCGGATTTCCAAAATCCGAATTCAGAAAACCGGATTACGGACTTCCGGTTTTTGGATTCAAAAATTTCACGCCGCGATTTATAAATTTTTAATTAAAGTCGGATTTCGCAAATCCGACCTTTACTGTTCATTTAAGAATTTTTAGAAACCTATTATTAAACAAAATTTATGTAAATATTATTTTATTATTAAATACAAACTCGGATTTGCAAAATCCGAATCTGTAATTTTAATCAGAACTCGGATTTGTGAAATCAGAGAAATATAGTTCTGTCCACAAATATTCTGAAAAATTTAAATTTGTCCACGTTTATTTTAATTAATTTTTTTGGGGAAAAAAGCTTACTACAAAGCTATTATAAATCTCCAAAACTAAGTATTGATTTGGCACAATCGGAGAACATCAATAAATTATCTTACTAATAGTTAAACTTATTAGGATACTTTTATATTTTGTCTAGCATTTAATTCAAGACATATATTTGATCAAGTTTATTTATATTTAAGAAGTAACACTTATAAAACATTTCTAAAACGTACCTAGTCAAATACAATTTCTTTTTATGCCAAATACAAACATTTCTATGATCACACTTATAAAATATTTCTAAATTTTTCAAACATTTCTAAAATATATCGGGCCAAATACAAAATATTTTTTTTTTTCAGATACAAACATTTCTAAGATGTACATATATATTGGGCCAGGGTCGCGCATTGCGCAACCAGAAATCAAGATTATATATATATATATATATATATATATATATTTGTGTGATAGCTACTTGTACAAAAGATCGATAATCCACCCTATAAATGGTTTACTTTTTATCAAAATTTGTTTGGAAAGGGAATCCGAGAAAAGGCATCTTTAATTATTTTTGATATGTTTCAAATATACATTGCAATAACAATTATTTGATGATTCCTGTGGTTTTTTTTTTTTTTTTTTTTCATAAGTATGGCAATGAAATTTTTAACTTTTGAATAAATTAAGAAAAAATAAATTTACGCAATAATTTCAATGAGATAATATACATTACTCTTTTTTTTTTTTTGAATGAAAGAGTGAATTTCATTAAATTGTTGGGAAACCGCCCAACACGGAATGAGATGAATATACATTACTGTGTCAAGGTTTCAACATCTACTCAAATTTTATTTTTTTTTTAAAGTGATTATATATAGAATTATTATTACTTGGTATAAGTAATCTTATTACTAGTAGATAAAAACAATTCTTTACCTTTTATTTTTCATCTAACACAGTAATAATCGGAAACTGAATCAAATTACCATTTCGGCTATAGTAAGTATCGTACGATATGCGATACGTATCGTACGATACGTATCAAAATCAAGGATTTCGATGCGTATCATGGTATGTATCGTAATCCTTTGTGTATCGATCAATTATCGATACGTATCGTATAATACATACGATATACGATATGATGGTGTATCGTACGATACAAAAACATAGGCAAAAAATAATTTTTTCTTAAAAGAATTCAAATTGTTGTTTCATAATAACTATTAAAATTCAAATTAAGAACGAAGTTAATTTATAATTTTTTTTTAAATAGATATTTTTTATTTATTTCTTTTAGAAACATACTCATTCTTAATTGATGATAAAATTGCGTGATAAATTATTTACTTTTAAAAAATAAAATAACTAAAATATTATTTTTATTCATTATTAACATGTTAAATGAATGCAATACATATTTATATTAATTTTCTCACTATTAAATTTATGGCTATAATAGTATGAAAAATAGTATTTATCACATATGTTTTACGACCATTATTCATTTAATAAATGAGTAGTTTGTGTAACTTTCAAATAATCTTTAATTCAACTTAATCAATTTATTATTTATAACTGAAAAAAATATATATATATATAAATATATCAATTACATATGGAGTTTATAATATTTATTATTATTCTATATATATATATATATATTACATTAAAACGTATCTTACAATACGATACACGATACGATACGCGTATTATAAATTTTAGATTTCTGATACACGATACATACCACGATTTGATAACTATGATTCCGGCCATTCCCTTCCTCTTGTAAAAGAACACAGTTACACATCCTTAAGGTTATTTATTTTGTCAACTCCGGTAACAGTGTTTGAGAGATGAGAGTAAATAAATTTGAAACTTACTCAATATATAAAAATATAAAAAAATGCACTAATATGAAAGTCCGTTCGAAATACTGTTTGACATTAGGAGTTGACTTTTTACTCAAAAGTAAACCTTCTAGGAGAAAAAACAGAGTAAAGCTTCGTAAACCAACCACCTCAGCCATGGCGGAAGAAGGAAAAGATGAATGCCCAGTAGAATGCCCGACCAAGCAATCTCTTCCGGTAAAAACCCCTTTGCCGTTTCCCATGTTTCTGTTCAATTGTTAACTACTTAGATACCCTTGTCCCTTCTGGAATCTCCATTCGTTTAATCATTGCCTAGGCCTTTTTATTTTTATTTTTATTATTTTTTTGTTGTTGTCGGTTTGTAGAATGTCAGTGACTTGATCCTGCTCCGATAAATATCAGTTCTTTCTGATTGGTATTTAATTCGAGCAAAAATTGATCTTTCATTAGATTCAATTGTGAAAGCCTTTTGAAAGTTTTGATTATGAAGTCCACGCTGGGTGTTGCTTCGATGTAATGGAAATGACCTTTCTTCACGAACTCTGAAGTTTTGATTTTGTTTGTATTCTATTTGAGTGATCGGAAGGGAGCAAATTTGTGGGTTTATTAGAATTTGACTCTATGATTACTTTCTTAATGCTGTAAGTGGCATTTATTGGATTTGACATGTCTGTTTTTTGTTTACACTGTAGTTTTTGGAGGTGACCTGTAAAAGATCAGGGAAGATAAGGCGTTTTGCTTATGGAACAGAAGCTGGTTTTGCAGTGAAATTTACAAATAAGAAGTCTGAAATCGATGGCGATCCTGGGATTCTGTTGGCATCATATGTAGAAGCTGTTAAAGAAGGGGAGGTCCCTGTGATTTTTGGCCCGAATGCTCCTCTAGTGGATTATGGTCCTGGTTGGAAGTTGCAGACAGTTCTTGATGAAGAAGGTGAACGTGCTTCTGATAAGTTCATTTTGCATCTCAGTTGTAACTTTCGAAGGCTAAAAATCTAAAAATTGTTTGCCCTTTCATCTTGATTTAGGTGGTGCAAAAGGAAGAAGTGCTACTACGAGAAGAGTACATTTTGTGGAAAAGGTATTATTGGCTACAGATTGAATTCTTGGAATTTATTTTGTTACATACATTAGTAAACATCATACTTCAACAAGTTCCTTCTCTGGCTCCAGTTAGATTTCCAAACCAAGTATTTATTCACTATGTGGGATCGGCTATATGAATAATGTATTGCCATTATGGGTTGCCTTTTTAGTTGTCTGTACACGTTGCACTTAACCCTAGTACGGTTGAGCATGTGATGGTCTTTGTGAAGAGAGTATAGTATGACTTTGTGATGCGCTCTATGAAGCAGGGAGCTTCCTTATATTTATGACATATTTCCATGATCAATATGAAGTACCGCAAAGTTTTGCACTGGTTGACTATCTAACCAAACCATCTTCTTTACTTTAAGTTTAAGATCAGAAATTCCAGCTCTGGACCAGCTGCTTATAGGGTTGACTGAGTTTAGAGCTTTTATAATACTAAGAGGCAAGATAGTAGTGAGTTCATATTTTAGGGAAGAGCCACTAAGACACATAGGGGCTATTTGATCATGTTACATCTCTGTGAAGAATGCTGCTTACCGATCATGGTTTGGCGTTGCCCCTAGATACGTTGGAAATTAGGTACATCAACGGTTGTGGGAGATCAGCAAGCTATAATATTTGTGGATTTATATATCTCTTGGTGGCTAGGGTGCATTCTTGAGGAATAAAATCATTGAATCCCTGCAAGCAAAAGTTCCTCGACTGTACTAGAAGTAAAAGACTTAGTTATTTTAGCGTAAACTCTATTAAAAGTTCCGCAAGTCTTTCTAATTATGCTTCTGAATTAACTCTGATGTGTAGATGAAAGGTGAACATACCTTGAAAACATACACAACAGTTGCTTTGGTTAAATTCAGAAAAATTGAACTTATGGTTACTGATTTATGATGTTACAGTGTCCAAGTAAGTTTACTGGTTAGCTGGGGATTCTTTTACTTCTACTGTTTAATTAGCGCTGCTTTTATCTGTGGCCCAATGAAGTAACTTCTATTTTCTCGTTATATGAAGATCTTAAGCATGTGTTCTGGCTGATCTACACTAAAACAAAACACATTATTGAGCATTTTGTTTATGGCTGGAGTTAGCTAATACAGTTCGAATGGCTGAATATTTTCAGGACATGAATGATTCTAATCCTCTGCAGAAAAAGTCGCACTCAGCCATCAGTTTCTTCTACATTGGGAAGATACTGCTCGCTTTTGTTCTCATATTTATCATTGGTGGAATATTCACATTGTTTCTGGAAAACCTTCCTCAGCTCATCTTCTATATCAACTCATCAGTTTGATTCTATATGTTTTTTCCATGTCTATAAATTCATGATCACTTGTTACTGGAGAATGTCAAGTCTACTGATCGTAAACCCCTGCATCATTGTTTTCATTGGTTGGTTACCACAACAGCAAATTGAATCCGGTTGTGGTTCTAGGGGTTTGAACATATGATATGTCAGCATTGAATTAAACAAACTTTTTTATCCACTTTTGAAGGAGGCCTCCAAGTGTGGGAAGTTCAAGAGTTTTTCAGGGTCTCTTTCTTATTGCTCTGTTTAAAGAATAGTTGAAAAGCAGAACCACAATCAAATTGCATTTCCATCGCATTAAGAGAGTATGACTAAGTACTTCAAACATGCCTTTAGGTATGTAGCAAGTGCCAGGAATGGAATGTAACGCTAACTCTACCATAATTGATTTGTCTTCCGAGTCCTGTTCAATAAAAAATAAGAAAGAAGTTCACCGAGTGATCAATTATGAACTATAAGTAATGGGAGAAAAACTAAAAATATTAAGCTAAATCGTTGACGCACTTTGCATTTTTCTTGCTGTCACCATTAGGTCTAATGGTGCACAGTGAGGCTTCACAACTTGGGCTCAATCGAGTGAAAGTTCACACGGATTGTGAATTGCTATTTACTGATTTAGGGACTATTCTTGTGCCGATGGAAACACAAAAAATTATTTCGTAATTATTAGTTTTAACTTCATCTTTTGAGTCCTGTCAAACAATTAAAGTTAGCAAATCCGATATTAACGATTTACATAGTATGACTTATAATTCCTATCGATGTAATAACATTGGTACTTTCTTGTCAAATAATTAAAGTTAACAAATCCGATATTAACGATCTACATAGTATGACTTATAATTCCTGTCGATGTAATAACATTAATATTTTCAACTAATATCAGGTACCATCTTAAAAAGAAAACATTGTAAGATAATTAAAGTAAAAGTGACCTCCCAAAATATATGCAAAACTGTAAACCGCCAATTTTGTCATTGATGAAATAACCGCCAATTAGTACCAAGATAGATAACTGACAATTATCATTGATGAAATAAAACAAAGCAAGGGAGATCGGGTGCCACATGAAACTAGAGTTAATGGCAACAACATATAGCCACTACAAAGATGGATATTTGCCGGATAGTAATGATGCTTTAATTCTAACTCCAAAGTTGAGAATACGCGATGTTACTAAAGCTATAGCGAGAGATCTACAAAAAAGATCCCAGTGGTTCATGGACATCATCAGATCTCTTGGTTATGTACATGAGAAAAACTGAAACTGAAATCAAGTATTCCCTCAAAAAGTTTTAAGCAGACGTAGAACAGATCACAATCAGGTTTTAAGAAGATTGTTGCAGACCAATGATCTTCACTTGTCCTGAATCAACGTATAAGTTCTCTAGAAGGTAACGGGCCAAACTGGTTCTTCGAACTTCAACTCTTAGGCTTCTTCTCCGGACCTCCATTTCCATGCTCAGGCTTGCGCTTACCCAAGAAATACTCAACCTGGGGACAAGAGAGTACATATGTGAATATATTACGCAGAGGATTTCATAATCATGGGGACAAAACATGTCTGGTGAAAAAATCACACAGGCAGATAAATTCAAGTTGAGCAATTTATTTTCTGTTGTATTATAACCAATAACCAAAAACAACTGTACTGGACAAAATATTAAAGTATTTTGACTAACCATTAAACAACCTAGAGATCCTAGGCCTGATGTAAATAAAATTGAATATTACTCAATTTAGGAGGGAAAAATTCAGGTCCACAGTTAATAGAACAAATTTTCTGGATGCGGTTACACTTTGGAGTCGGTACCAAAACATTGTTCATCATGCGAGTACTAAAATCTAATATTACTGATTTCCCATCAAGTCTTTCTTTTAACCCATAAACAACAAACACTCGACTCCATTCAAAAACTAATCTTCAGTAAATGCACTGATGACAGCGATTTAGAACTTAACATTTTAGTCCACTTTCACTTAATAAGAGGCATCAAATTAAACAAATAATTACCTTTTTATCTCCAAGCATAGGGGTCAGGCCACCAGCAAGGTCCTTCTCAACAGTTGCAAAGCCACTTCTAGGGTCACTTGTTTGCCTGCGAAGTGAGAAACGTATTATTAAGTGCTCAGATAAGCTTCAAGGTTTTAAATTAAAGAGAAGGAGAGAGGGAGAGAGGGGGGGGGGAGATAAGGAGCCAATATGACTCCATCAAGGGTTCAAATCAACTCAAATATATTGCTTGACCCTCCTGACCTACCATACCACATATTCAATGTGGATTAGACTTGATTTATTAACATATTTTACAAAGAAGAAGGAAACACATATTCAATAACAACTTCTTTTGGTTCAAGAGTTCTAGACATTCAAAGGGATTCAAAGTTTTGTTGTGGAAATCCAACTTCAGCACAACTGACATTTCAACACAGTTTTTCTACAATTTTAGAAATAAATGATCACATTGAGTGATAATTGAATAGAAACAAGCTTGACAAAAAAGGGTAAAAAGAAAGTTTTACATACCCAGGCTTAACTTGCCCAGTGATGACTAGATAGGGTGTTTGCAGTCTAGCTTGAGTCTCCTTCATTCGCTCAACTGATAGAGATGGTGTGTCCGCATTTTTCATTTGCTTTACCTTCAGCTCTTCCTGGTATTGTCGCATCCGCTTTTCTTGTTTCATTTTGCCAGGTCCTTTGCCATGGAATTTATGTGACAATAACCGAAAAGCTTCCTTCGGAGTTAACTGAACACAAAGGCAATTATCTCAATTTTTACGCCCTCATAAAAGAAAAGAAAAGGACATAAAACTATTCACCATATGATGGGGAGAAGATGCAGACAAAATTGTGAACATTACTTCCAAGACTGCCATGCAAATTTTGACACATTTTGACATCAAATTTATATGCGTAATAATGCAGGTGAAGCCTAACATAATATAACAAAAAATCAAATAAGACTTAAATAAGACGGAACAGATTGACGGAGTCAACACAACTAAGCCATGTATCTCACTACGTCATTCAGCTCTATGGGTCATATGCCACCATTGTGTTCTGTCAAAACACATATTGAGAACATACACAAAGAAAAGGTTAAGGAAAACATTTCCAACCCACCAAACAAAGGTAGCCACCGACAGGTTCATCAATCTCAAATCCACAAAGTGAAAACATCTTCTACTACCAAGACTTCTATAATACCAATTTAGCAATGCCATCTATAGATGCCCAGTGCCAACAAAAATTCAAAGCCAAAAATTTTGCTGACAAGGTGAAATTAAACTACAAGCAAACTACATCTGATTTTTAAGGGAACAATTTTCAGAAAATTTAGTGTATTCCCCAAAAGATTTGGTAACGGTAACTATACTCCCGTCCCAAAAGATAGTCCATATTGAGTTTTGAGATTTGTACGTTTTGAATTTTGTACTAAAATCAGTACAAATCTCAAAACTCAATAGACTATTTTTTTGGATAAAGGTAGTATCACGTATTGTGGCATGAAAAAACCTAGTGAGCAGAACACTGAACTGGTAGAGGGAATAGCAAAAGCAAGAAGAACACAGAAAAGAGAAAAAACACAGCATAATGAGCTATATCACAAAATCTCAAGACATACTAATGACGTAAGGAACTTACAATTCTTCCGTATTCATCCGTCCTCTCAAGATGGATTTCTTTCGGTTTTACCCTTTTTCCATGTTCATCTGTCTTCTCAAGATGGATTTCTTTTGGTCCCTCATCATCATGAATGCCAACCAGTTTGCTCTTCTTCTTGTCCATGTTTCGACCACCCCATTCAACGGTTTCCTTCAATGATCCTCGTTCTTGCAGAAGCTTCAGAGCCCCAGCTAATCCCTTCCCAACAGGAACTTCATGAATTGTAGCATCAGGAACTATTTCCTCTTCCTCACTTTTGGGGGTTTCTTCTTCTGTGCTTTCTTTTACCTCTGACCAGCCACCATCTTCTTGTTTAGCCTCCATCTCTGCAACTTTTGGGACAGGATCTTCCTCCATAAACACATCTTCAGCATCAGACTTTTGAGCTTCTGGAACATCAGAAAGAAACCATCAGGACCCAAATATCCATTTTCAAACAATCGTGTATGATCAGGGGACAGAAAATAGTAAAAACAAGAAGACATCATCAACCACAGCAAGCCAAAGTATTCCAAACGGTTAATAGTACAATTATGAAGCAGAAAAGTTTGCAGCAAACCATGATGCATACATGAAATAGCCAAGCATCCAAAAACCTAGCCCAAACGGAACCACAAAATAGAGAAGTATACGACAAATTTCTCAAAAAAGGGCCAATAAGAGACTTAAAACTCTCCAGGGAATATTATTATTAAGGCGATATGGGCTCAAGTATGAAACTGCTTGCATACAACAGAAAAGATAAAAACCAAAATCGCATGAAAGCTTGGGATGGCAAGTGATTTGAACAACCTTTACTAATGACAAGATTGGGTAATGGTTACTCTAAGCAACACAGATTCAGCATCAAACAAACAAGGAACTGAACTCAAGTAAATCCAACAAATTGAGATTTGTCAATAACATGGCAACTCAAGACAAGAAAAGTCATGCATAATTTAATCTTACAAAGAGAGGCATGCAAAATTTAGCACTGCACAGGCCAACATAACCAAACCATGAAATCCTAAATAAGTGAGGCTCGAAGACATGCTCTGGCGCATGCTTATGGCACCTGATGTTCAGCAGATGATGAAATGCAGAATTTCAGATCTAATACAACGATATTTACATAAGATGCAACAGAATGGCCAAAGAACTCAAACGATAAATCACATGATTAATGCTTCATAGCAATCAGTCTAAAAGGAATTTTGTCAAGTTAACATTCAGTTGACTAATTTAAAAAGTGTCTGAGACATCCATGTTGATCACTTAATTGTAGTTACCCATCTCCGAAGAGAAACAACTTTTCTCTTCCTACAAAATGGCACAATACCTTCATCAAGTTGGTGACTCCAGAGTTCCATCTCTGTAAAGACGACCTTATTTTCTGATGCCTCTGCTGAGGAATTTCCCTGCTCAGTAGCAGCAGAAGAAGCAAGAATGGCTATAGGTAGGGGATTTGATGTCAAAGCATCAGCTTGTGCTTTCAAAGCCAGCTTTCTAGCCCTGTCTAAGGATTTCCTGAGGTCATCATCATCATCGCCAATCACAGGTGTATCATCTTCAACTTTCTCAGTTGCCATATTCTGCGCCTGACGAAGTGCTTTTGATGCTTCATCTGCTTTCGCCAAAGCTGACTGATAAGCAGTGTTTCTCATTTCAGAATCATTTCTCTCCTCTTCCTCCCTAAGAACTTGCCTTCTCCCATCACTTCTAGAACCGAGGTCCTCAACACCAAGTCCAGCAGATTTAGCCTCTGCCTCGAGGGCATCTATATCAAGTTTTTCCTTCTTCCTCAAAGATTTCTTTTTCTTAGGCTTCTTAAACTGAAGCATTTCATCTTGAGTGTAATAGTCGGACAATACCTTGCCGGTGCTATTTAGATCTTCTGCATTGTTACTTTTAGGAATCCCTTGAATTCTTCTCCGAAGCTGCGAGAGAGAGACAAAGAGAGGGAGAGCTTTTAGAACTCAGGTAATTACAGCTATTTTTTAACAGGAGAAACTAGGACCATTATAACCCAAAATACGCATACTTACTTCTTCCAGTTTCTTCTCTGCCTCCCCAGTGAAGCGTCCTCTTGCATCAAGAGTTACCCCCTGTGTGAAACATCTGAATGAATAACCACATGTACACGCAATCAATTTTAACAATAACAGTACAAAAAGTTTACCTCGTCAGCAACTGGATCATCATATTGTGGGAGAATTTTCCTCTCAGAATCGTCCTCAACATTGAACCTAAAGGGGAAGCAGAAACATAAAATACACAGCCATACCAGTCACCAGTACTAAAGTTACAAAACAGATGATGGGAATGACAATGAACTTACTTATCCTCATACATTCCACTTTTCTTTTTAGCAGCTTTATATGCATCATCTCTCCGTTTCTGCTCTCCAATTTCCACATTCTCGAGTACATCAACCTCTGACATATAGAATGTAATTGTCACCACAGGAATCTGAACGCAGCACAACCCGCAAAGATGAAAAGGACGAATAAACATGTAACCACATCAAGCAATGAAATTTACAACAACTCACCTTCATTAACTCCAGTGTCAGAAAGAATGTTCTGGTCTTTGAGCGTCAATACAACTGCCCCACCCTCGAGTACTTTATCAAGTCCATGAAGAACTTTCACACCAGCGAGGTCATCTGCAAGGTACAAAACATGGATCATGGAATCAGCCCCTATACAAAACATAGAGACACAGCATATAGAATACAAGGGCTGGAATGAGAGTTTGGGTGGAGACAGTTTGCAGGATGCCTGATACAGAACTACCTCAACAAACATACCACAGAAGCTGAGTATGGTTTACAGTCTCGCAGAAATGACTGATATACTTGGGGGCTTTTATTGTATAAAACAAATTATCTACATATTACCTACTGTGCTTCACTAACATTGCAAATGCAAGTTAAAAAGATGACATGGTGACTAGAAGCATACAAGATTTGCAAACTTTAAATGGAAGTTTCAAACACAGGAGAAATAACAAATAAACTAAGAGCTCAAATGTAAGATATTTAGGCATAGAACTGCAAAACCCCAAAAAAGGCAGAAAAGGAAAAAAAAAATGAAATTGAGAGTTTAAAAGAATCATACGTGTAGCACTTGGTGTGGTATCCTCATCATCATCTCCTCCGACCATGTTGTCCTGTTATATTAATAATAAACAAATTGGTCAAAGCAATCCAAACAGTCAACTTATTCATGTAATTGCCAGAAGGATCAACGAAGAAAAGACATAACCATCAGGCAACTGATGTTACTTACTTGCTCTTCAAAAATCTTTGAAAGCTGCAGGGCTTTCTCCCTTTCAGCATTCCTCTTTTCCTCAATCTTACGACTTTTAGCAATCCATGATAAAACTTCAGAAGCACCTTCCGACTTCTTATTCAATCTTTCTTCTCTCATCCTGAATTTACACCAAAATCCTTTTCGTCAGACGGATTACTTAAGTCCACAATATTGTGAAATCAACAAAGAGCAACCAGCAAGAAGTTGTGACAATGAAAGCTCACTCACATAAATTTGTTTGTGCAGTAATGGACACATACACTAGGGAAACAAAAGAAACAATTAATAACCACATAAGCAAGGAAAAAGGAACTACATCTATCATGGAAAGATAGTATTGCAATCATCTTTCCAAGTCTACATCTTCCTATCTGGAGATTCACTTCTTGAAACATGAAACAAAACTTGTTGTAGTTTAACATACCCTTTCTTTATTTACGACGAATTTCTTTGGTAAATGGAAAAATATCCAATGATCCACACAACTTTAATTTAAAATGTAATTGCAGTAAGAAAGCGATGCAAAAATGAGTCATCATAGAATGTCTAAACATATTAGCTCAAGGAGCAAATAAATAAAATAATAAAAAAGAAGATACCACATGGATGCTTCATTGGTTCACATAAACAGAAAATAAAAAACTTGAATCCAAGAGGTTAGGGCAGCTAAGATTACTCTGCCTTTGCGAACATCACCAAGACAAAAAAAAAAAAAAAAAAAAGTATAGACGGTAAAAAAGCATATAGGAAACCCCCACGTCCAAACTATTGACAAGTGTGGATAGATTAGTTCAAACATCTTCATTTCAAAGGACCTGCCTCGTTAGAAAGCACATATGTTTTAAGAGACATCTTCATATATACATCTACTATTCAAGGAAAACAGTAAAACCTAAATGCATAAACAATACATACATCTGAAATGAATGAATCTGAACACAGGCAAGTAAACTGGTGGCCCACAAGTGACACGACAGAAGGAATAATATTTCTGCGAGTATCAGAAAAAGTTACAAGCAATAACATGACAAAAATAACTTACTTCTTTATGCGGTCCTCCAACTCTGATGCAGCAACTGGCGACGCGGCAACCTCACCATCCTCATGTTGCTGCTTCTCAGTGACCATTCCATCCTCCATGTCCCGCAAGTCCAAATCCATGTCACCTTGATCGGCTATAATATCTGAACCAGATTTATTATCCTTTGTCGAGTACTTGCTCTTATCACGGTCTTCGTCCCGGTGCTTAGTAGTATTTCTGTCTCTGTCCCTCTGTCTTGCACCATCTTGATCTGGCTCCTTCTCTCTAGAACTTTCCTTTCCTTTGTCTCTGTCAACGACATTTTTCTGTCTCTCTCTTTCATTCTCCCTCCCCCTTCCATGCTCTTTAGGCTTCTCCCTTTCTTTCTCTCTGTCTTTGTCCTTATCCCTACTTCTCTCCTTTCCTCTTTCTTTATCTCTTCCTCGCTCTGAATCCCTATCCAACTCCCTCTCTCGATCCTTTTCATTTTCCCGATCCTTACGTTCCTTATCACGATCCCTGTCCCGATTTTCCCGGACTTTATCATGACTCTTCACCTTTTCCAGCTTATCCCTGTCATCATGTCTCCTGTCTTTACCAGATGACCTATCTTTTTCTAAATCTTTAGGCTCCTTCTCTCTATCCTTGACATCACGACTAGTCTTTGAATGCTCTCTATCTTTACTTCTCTGATCTTTATCTTCTCTTCTACTGCTCTTGCTCTTTTCCTTAACTCGATGCTTGCTGGACTCTCTACGTTTCTCGACTCCATCCTCTTCCAAGGCATCATATCCACCAGCCCTCCTCTCATTCCGAATATCAGGTGAATCAATATCCATAGTCATAACTGAATGGTAATCCCAGGTTCTGAAACTCAGATTGGCAAGCCTCCCAAAATCCAAACTGCATAGAATAAAGGTCAAATCAATAGTTTAGTAGTTGATCCAAAACATGTATCACTAGGTTCTAAACACAGCACCAGGGTCTCGCCAGGAATCATGCATCATTAGGTTCTAAACAATTCTCCGTTACAACTAATAACAATTATTATGCCACAATAATTACAATTCCATTCCCATTACATCCCCAACAAAACAAAACAAAAAAAAAAAAAACGAACAAATTAACCCCCGACAACAATATACATCAAGAATTTAAAGCCGATAAAACCCTAGGTTTTCATGCATGATAAGCGAATTAAAGTGTTTAGGCTGATTCGGTACAAACTTTAATAACATTGCCTACAAAAAAGAACAATTAAAAAAAATCCTGAATACAAGATGGATAAGCCAGAGCTTACTTACTCGAACAAAGGAAAGCCGAAGTTCGTAGCTGTTAGGAGATAATTCCGAGAATCCCTACCGTCTTTCTTCCTTTACTCTTCCTGCTCTTAGATTGGATTCTTCTTCCGATGAGTTTAACACAGAATTACGACGGAGATAGAATAGAGCAGAGTAAGTGGTGATGCTGGTGGTGGAGTGAAAAAAGGGAAAAAAAAAAAAAAAAAAAATTTGGGGGGGAAGAAAAATAGGAGAAGAAATTGAAGAGTTGCACGGAATGGAGTTTTTCTCTTCCTCTGATTCGCGAATTTGCCTCTTTCTAAATTTTCGGAATTTAGAGGCTGATGAAGACGGGGTTTTGAGTTGGGCTATAGGAGAACAGTAGTTTCAAGGATTGGGCTTCCATGGTGCTGACTTAAATGGGCTAACTGTTTTAAGGTTTGGTTAAGACATGGTTCCGAAAGATCCTATGTCATGCCCTGAGACTGAATTGCATGTAATCAATAGATCAGGGACTTGTCTAGCATTTTCTGAAAGTCAAGTCAGAATATTTAGTAGTGAGTCAAATGTAATAGGGTATCGAATATCATAATTGTAAAATTAGAAATAGTTTGTTTCTTGCCTTTTAACAGCTCCGTTATCGAAATTGTTCCACCTTTCCATCATCTCCGGTCGATCCTAAGCCTTACCGGCAAGGGTTCCGACTTTCCATATTTCCGCTTAAATCCCCAAACCTAACAATTGGTATCTAGAGCTTGCGGATTCTCGAATCTGTGAGATCAGCTGGCACTGTTCGAAATGAAATTCAACCGGATTGAAGCTTCCGTTGTCTGTGTTGACAGAAATTAGTGTAATTAATGATACTACAGATTTTCCAAATCCAAATATGCTAATAAAATATTAATTTCCAGAAAGAAAAAAATACAAGTGTTGGAAAATGCATTTTAGCTAAATTCGGAATACTGGAATCCGAACAAGACAAATACAGATTCGGGGAAACCTCTTCGGCTAAATACGGATTCGTGAAATCCGAAGTTGGATACAGTCAGATTTCCAAAATTCGAATGTGCTCTGTTTCTGAAAACTAGGAACTCCCAGTTAGCTACCAATTTGGATTTGCGAAATCCGAAATTGGATACAGTCGGATTTCGAAATCCGAATATGCTCTGTTTCTGAAAACTGGGAACTCTCAGTTAGCTACCAATTCGGATTTGTGAAATCCGAGTCCTTTGCAAAATGAGAGGATTCGGATTTCCTAAATCCGAATCTTTGTCAGACCTGAAAAAAAAAATTGGACTGGTTTTAACCAGTCCAAAATCTATTTACAGCACTAACAATAATGAAATATAGAAAAACAGAAATCAAATAGCAACAAAACAATAAACGTCATTCGATTAACAACGAAATATGAACAATTTTCAATCCAAAATCAATCAAAAAACTACTTTAAATGTAAAAATACATTAAAGGGCTCATTTTTTTCCTTTTCCTTTCTTAGGCCCATCCGGAGTGTATTTATTTAGCCCCACCCGATTCCTGTCTTCCCTCCGAAGATACGTGAGTATTGAACCCTGTTGTTGACGCGGTTGGGGTTGGGATTGGGACTCTCCCATGGTGAGAAATAGGACTCTCGGTTGTGGTTGCGGTTGTGGTCTCCACCAAATTGAGTTTCGAGTCCACCAATGTCTTCAAATTGAGTCTGGACCTGGATGTGCGAGCCTCTAGAAGAAGCCGCCTCGCCATCTCATTGTTGACCCTCATTTTGTTCTTGCGATGTCCGAGGGGGGATCACTATCTTTCTCTTTCTTCCTCCTCTAATCTTGTCTCTCGACCACGGTTTTACTTTTTTACCCAGCGGAGGCTGTGAGGGCATAGATGGTTCTTCATCAACCAGGATTTGGGTATCGTCCACGTCAATCTCATCATTTGCACCCAGGGTTAAAGCTGCATGTGCTTGATCGATGATTTTGTTCAAATGCTCCTCGAGTTCATCGTCTAGGAGATTTTTATCATCTCTTTATCTCTAAACAGCTTGGAACTCACGCGAATGTTGTTCAATACTTTCACCCTGAAAAGAAATTGGAACGTTATTAAGAGAGTAAAATACAAAAAATAAAGAAAAAAATAAAAGGAAAATATAAGAAATAAGAAACCAAAAATATAGAATGAACTCACATATAATTTCACTCGCCTCGAAGAAGTCTCGTATCCTTTAGGTTCATAATTTTTGGGATTGGATATCAGCTTGACAGTTTTCATCATGAACCATTCATAGTACCCCTCATATACTTCGCCAGGGTATCCGACCTCCAAATCTTGTAGAACGTACTTTTCTCTCTTTCTCCAGTGAGGACGTACTGCAGAATGGTGATCCATCCAGTTGTTGCTAGAATACCCAGACATACTGTGGGCGTGATCGAGAAGAAATGATGTGTTATCTTTAATCATAGGGCGACTAGAAACACCCTGCATGTATCCAAATTGTCTCACAACTCTGCCCGACTCGTGAGGTTCCCTAATTGCCCAACAAAACATCCAACACCTGGTCGTCCAAATGGCTTGGCCTTGTTTACAGAAATCAGGGAGTCTATCAAGGACCTTTGCATATGGTTGCCACCAAAACTGCACGAAAAGAATTTATTTAAATGGTATAATCGGAAGAAAAAGAAATTCAAAATACAGGGTGAATACCAAATTAAGTACTTACATCTTCAATACGCAGGCTTGTTAATTGATCTCTAAAAGGTGGCAAGCTGCTCCTTGGGACGTCTCCGTAGGTGTACCAACATTCCCACCTTAATGAACAAACACGAAGGGGTTACATTTGAATTAGTAAAAAGGATGGATAAGAAACAAATACAAATAAATATTGAGTTATTTTGAAATGAAAATACGTACCGCTGAGCTAATGGAGCGGTCTTATCAAGTATATAATCTACTCCTTTTTTGTGTGGCGTGATTCTCTCGATCCGCTCATACGCCTATACCTATTAAATTTCAATAATAATGTTAACACTTCAAATTATAACGTCGAAAACAAAAACAATTAAAACACCTATTGAATACTAATACGTACCTGTAACAACTATAGACAGCCAGTGATGTCGTGCATAGTATACTGGGATGCCTCGCACAGCCCAGAGTACAAACCAGCCAGCAGGGCCGATCCCAACTGTATTGACTACACTGCTCCAAATCCTCAACCTGGGCCAAAAACTACAGATTAACAGTGTTTTGAGTCTTGGTAGGAAACATAAACTGTTAATAAAATGCAATATTAATGTTCGGGCCCTTTGCTCGAATCGCTGGGCTGGGGAATCCTCAGGGAGTGCACGACCCATCTCATACTCGAAAACACTAATATTGACAAATTGGCAATTTACTTGGGCTGGCTAGAATCCCAAATAAGTCTCACATCTCGCCCCCCCTCCATTCCTCTGCACTACGGCTAACTGTCGTTCCGTACACTAGGTCACCATCCACCCGAATACCAAAGAGGACCTCGACATCCTGTAGTGTCACAGTCGCTTCTCCGAAATTGAAGTGGAAAGTATGGGTTTCTGGCCTCCACCGTTCCACCAACGCCGTAGTGAGACCAAGATCCAATCTTTTGTAGCAAACTTTCATTATCCCCTCAAAACCGGCTCTCCTAATGATTTCCTTAACCCCTAGTGCCAGATGATTATTGTATATCTCCCAAAAGTCGCTATCGTATCTACGACCCTTGAGGCGGAATGTTTTAATGTTGTGGACCTTGTTCTCAAAGACAGCTTGGGACTTATGATGTGCTTGACGGTATAGCACTATATCTTCTATTGGCCCGGTTGAAGATGTTTAGGGTGATATTCATATTGCGAGCTAGATTCGCCAGCCATTGCAATCCTACACAAGGCAACCAAAGAAAACATCAATGCGCAATAAACTTAAACATAGGTCAAGGTTAGTAGTAAACATAATTTCTTGGGGAACAATGAAAATGCTATATGTCCATAACTTTATTGAAAAAGAAAGACAAGAAAGATCAACAACTATGTGTTAATAATTGTGTGTTAACCATAGAGTGTTCAATAGAAAAATCATATAGGATCTCATTAATCCTAAACAACTGCAACTATAAAGCATGAAGTATAAGAAAATAATGGCATAAGAACGAATTTTGTAGTGATAGACAATTAATCTTTTGCAAAAACCAAATGAACAAGGCTTGCACTTTATATTGAACTGACAAGAACACTAATCTCAAATACTTTGCATCATAAACTGCCAAACCAAACTAATAATACACATGCGGCCAAACCAAACTAATACACATTCGGGAAGTTAAAAAAAACTGCCAAACCAAACTAAACTAATACACATTCATCATAAACTGCCAGGCTTGATTGCAAGTAATTCATTCGGATTTAAAAAAAAAGAAGCTACATTCGGATTTCACTGCTCAAAAAAAAAAAAATACGGAGCCAAAAACAAACTAATTTTCTCACCGGAGTACAGGGAGTCGCCGGGAATGGAGGAAGAGATCGCTTTGGGTCACCGAGAGTGCAGGGAGTCACCGGGAGTGGAGGAGGACCTCGCTTTGGGTCGCCTGAGTGCAGGGAGTCACCGGTCAGGGGTGGGCAGAAGGGTTGCCGGGACGTGGATTTCAGACCACCAGAGGGAGGGGGTGGGTCGCCGGATGGAGGAGTCGTCGATTTGGGTGGTGGATTGAGTTGCCAGACGGTGGGTGGTGGTTGAACGACGAAGGTCGTCGCCGGTCAGGGGAGGGATTGGATTTAGGGTTGAATTGGGGAAAAATGAATGGGTTCCAGAGTTGACCGGCTCTTATAGTCCCGTCAACTTCGGATTTCCTAAATCCGAATGCAAGTGATTCGGATTACCAAATTCTGAATCTTCTCTGTTTCTCCACAAATTGCACACTCACGGATGGAATTCCTCAATTCGGAAATCCAAAATCCGAACGTAGTACAAATTTCATGAACTCGGATTTGGAAATCCATGTACTTTGCTGCAGGAAATCGCCCCTGTTTCAGATTTCTTAAATCTGGACGTTATACAAAACGGCTACGTTCGGATTTTGGAAATCCGAACACTATACAAAACAGAGCCAAAATGTCCATTTTTATTTTTTACACAATCTCAAAACCTGTTATCAACAACTAGTATCTATTTAATCACAATCACAGCACCAACAATTCAATATTAACATTACAATCCGAACAATTCAATGTTAACATTACAATCCGAATTTATCAATACAAATATTTAGACGACATCTAATTAAACAGTTGTCATTCCAAATAACATGGTCACTCCAAATAACTTGCAATACCACTAAATGTCTCTCAATTCCAGTTGTCAGTCACGTGTCTTCTATCTACTCCTGGGTGCGAGTAAGGACAAGAATTGGGATCGTGACCTTGTTGTCTGCATCTCCAACATTCCCCTCGGCTCTGGCGTCCTATGTAATCCATTTGTATTCTATGTCTCCTTTTTCCTCGCCGTCTCGGTCCCGCATTCAAAACAAGACGCTCATAATTCGGAATGATATTTCAATTGACCGTCGGCCATTGATGCTCATCGGGAATCAGAACAAAACCCGTGTAATCAAATTGTCTGCGCCATGCTGGAAAGCGCCACACACTATGGTATTGATCAATAGGCTGATCCCCTTTTTTCCGGCAAACTTGGAGTGCGTGCGTACAAGGCATCCGGTACTCTTGCCACTTCCTACACGAACACCTATGTTCATCGTAGTTCACCATATGCAAAGACCCACCCCTGTCACTTAGCCGTGTAGCAGTAACAGCCCGCCACCTAGCATCATCACCATCAAAAAGGGTGGCATCAAAACTGGCTGCTTTATCGTTCATTTCCTCGTAATTTTTCCATAACTCAGGAGGGATCAGTGTCATACAATTTCTCGCACACAATTATTCTTCTTTGTAGAATTTCACGATTTTGTGAAAGGTTGCATCGATCAAGGCTCTAATTGTAAAAAACCGGATCCCTTTCAACGCATTGTTATAACTCTCAGAAATGTTGGTTGTCGCTATGCCCCAACGGCGAAGACCGGCTTTCAATTGAGCCTAGTTTCTCCCTCCAATCCCTCGAAGATACTCCCATGTAGCAGGTTTGAATTCAATAAGCTCTGCCCTCATACGGTTGTATTTCACTCTTGAATGCGTTATGTCCATCTTCCAACATAACCGCTTCACCTTCTGCTATTATATCGCGACACAAGATTGTTGCGAACATGGCGGAGGCAAAGAAAGTGGCCACCATTTCCTAAATCACGCCATTCATCCATCTATGACATTGCGCTCAACAACCCTGCATTCCGGTCGGATATCACACTTACGATTCTATCCTGCACAACCCACAACCTCAAATTCCTCATAAAAAATGTCCAACTATCTACTGTCTCCTCATCCACAATCGCAAATGCAACCGGTAAAATGTGCTTGTTTGCGGTATAGACCACCGCAACAAGCAATTTACCCTTGTATCCACCACGCAATAAGGTTCCATCAATACAAATGACCGATGGACAGTCAAGAAACGTCGCAGCCACTGGTGCAAATGACCAGAAGACGTATTTAAATGTCCTATTTCCCCTGTTCCAACCTTCTTGTCCCTCCTTCCATTCCCACTCTACCACAGTCACAGGATTAGTAAACTTAAGCTCCGCGATATACCTATACAACAAACCAGTCATAATTAAAATATTTCAATAAATTTAACAAAAAAAAACTAAAAATAATGCACATAACAAAAAGTTGATATTTACCTAGGAAGTTCTTCGAAATTCGAGGTCCAATCACCATAGACCGCTTCTATGGCTTTCCTCCTCCCGTGCCACGCCCTTTTGTATGGTACATCTACTTTCAATAAGGTCTTCACATCTTTCTGTGCCAAGGCCACCGTATAATCTACGTTATCCTCAACCTTTCTCCTGATAAGTCTAGCAATCAAAGACGCGTCCACACACCGATTGTCATTATCATTCACGGGAGTCATGCAATTATGTGCATCATGCCATCTCACAATTTCATGAAGGCCGTGATCTTTCAAAGACACACGCACCTTCCACTCACATGGTGGTTTACCATCCTCACTTTCCACATTTAATGTTCTGCACCGCACAGCCCACGTCTTTGGACTACTCGCAGCGACCGTATATTCTCTTTTATGATGGATGTTCAATAATTCCACAGCATGCTTTGCTTCTGATTGGGATTTGAAACAAACACCAATGTCCATTCCTTCGGGCGTCTCATCCCACATCTTAAGAGCAAACTCATCTTTGTCCACACACGAGGCATCCCATTTCCCCATCTTATTATATACATGGCGTTGGGGCAACGGATTAAGATCCCTTTCCTCATATTTCAATAATTCATCATCACTTTCTTCAAAATCACTCTCTGCAGAGAAATCACGGTCTTCTTTGCTTTCGCTTGGAGCTCTGTAGCCGGGATCCGACTCTTCCATGTAGTCATCTTGTGCAAATAAAGGTGTCTCCTCTTCATCACAGTTTCCAGAAGTACTAGCACGTTCCCCCCTTGGAAAACCACCAAATGACATGTTGTTTTCCAAACTCGCTTCTCTTTCTTCGTGAGTGATATCTTCCAAATCTATGTATAAATCCAAACATGACAATGGAGCTACACGGTTCATGAACTCTACATGCGAATCATTCTTGATCTTCACTATACGCCTACCACCGGGACTATCGAAAATCACAGAAAGGTGGAGTTTCACGTGTGCTGGATCCCAACCAAGTGTCATATAAATCTTACTAATCAATTCATCATATGATTTTCTCAACAAACAAACCATCATCCGGCATGTTCGAAAAAGTGTTGATGGTACTATTCTCTATCACATACTTGCTTGTATGATACAAATTAAGCATGTATGGTACATTACATGTCATTGATAACTGTTTTAAAAAAACATCAATATCTATTCATTTCTTAATAACAAAATCAACAAATACACCATACATACTCCATTCATAATTCAAAAAACCTATAAAATCCTAAAATACTTATAAATCAACTTCCATATCTCATGAACAACTATGATTTATCATCTCTAACCTCAAAATCAACACCTAAAACATCCAAACAACCAACAAACAAAAACCTTAATCTATCATACATCATTCTAACAATCAAAATAACACAAAACTAAACTAATAACATGGTTTTGCAATCTAACCTCTTTTAAATAATGATTCCAACATATCTAGCGGTAAGGTTCCATCAAAAGCTCCAATTCGCCAATCAAGAGCTGCAGAAAGAGAAAATTTAACTCAGTTCTCGAATGAAAACTGTCTGATTTTTTTTTCTTTTATAGCATGCTAAACTCGGATTTTCGAAATCCAAATCCGTAAGTAACTCGGATTCCCTAAATTCGAATCACCGTATAATCGGATTTCAGAAATCTGAGTTTGGTTAATTCCATATTTTTTATTCCATTTTTGGGTCCTCCAATTTATGGCAGATGCCTACTTTCACCAACCAAAATTAAAAGCCTTCGGATTTCCAAACTCCGAATACCAGTATCCAGATTACGGAATTCCGTCTTTTTGGATTAAAAAATTTTCTCTTTTTTTTAATAAATTCGGATTTTGTAAATTCGAATGGAACTGTTTATTTAAGGAGTCCAGGACCTGAACTCCTTATTTGAGTTTAAAAATTTCGCGCCTCAATTTTCTCTTTTTTTTTAAGGCATTCGGATTTCGTAAATCCAAATGTAACTGCTTATTTAAGGAGTCCTACCTGAACTCCTTATTTCAGTTCAAAATTTTCGCGCCTCAATTTTCTCTTATTTGAATTCAAAAATTTCGTGCCTCAATTTTTTTTTTCAAGGCATTCGGATTTCATAAATCGGAATGTAACTGTTTATTTAAGGAGTCAAGGACCTGAACTCCTTATTTGAGTTAAAAAATTTCGCGCCTCAATTTTGCCTTCTTTTTTGAAATTCGGATTTTCAAAATTCGAATGTACTGTTCATTTCTGATTTTTTTACTATAATTACACAAAATGTATATAATTATTATTTTAATAATATATGTGGATTCGAATTTCAGAAATCCGAAGGTTTAATTTAAATTAGCACTCGAATTTTAGAAATCCGTAGGATATATATATGTCCGTAGATATTCTTAAAAATTTAAATTTGACCACCTTTATTTTAATCATTTTTTTAGGGAAAAGACCCGTTTGTTTCTTTCCTCTTAACAGCTCCGTTATCGGAATCTGTGAGATCAGCTAGCACTGTTCGAAATGAGATTCAACCGGATTGAATCTTCACTGTCTGTGTTGATCACTGGTATTCAATCGGCGGTGAGTTTTGCAGAATCGCGGTGTTGGAATTATCGGAGTGCGTCTTCGTTCTTCTGGATGGAAACATCAGAGCTCCTAGAGATTTTCACAGAGAGGATGATGCCAAAGAGTGGCTGCAATATTATAACTATTTCTGCGTCTAGATTGCAAGTTCTGGAGGAGGATAGAGTCGATTGAATGCAACAGTGGTTATTTGGCGTCGCTCAAGATTGGAATCAATCATTTGGGGCTGCGAACCATTTTCTTGGGATGAATTTTGGCGAGGGTTTCGCCCGGGGATTTGGCATTCAAAAAGCGGAGGAGTTGGTGACTGAATCTTCTGAATCTTGGTTCCCGAATTTGGGAGAAAACCTTAGGGTTTCAGTGCAAGAAGAAGTTCCCATTGAGAAGCCAAGAATGACAATGTTCAATGGGGAGAACCCTAGGAGTTGGCTTCTAAACTGTATGAATTACTTTTCTGCTCATAAGGTCTTAGAAAGTTGGAGATTCTTCTACATCAAGTTTTTTCTTGACAGTGAAGCGGTGACTTGGTACCGAAAGTATAAAACAGTCAAAGGATCACTCCATTGGGAAGACTAGGAGGAATTTAGTGAAGATCTCATTCAACGATTTGAGACTTGGAAATTCTATCAACCCATGTTACCAATTATTCCTTCGGATTCTGCACAACAAGGTAATGATTCGCTTCAAAATTTTGATATCTCGCTGAATCATGTTAATAATATTGTTTCTGTGGAGGAATTCAATGATGATCAGTCATTCTTGGTGATAAATTGGGCAAAATTGAGAAGTACATTGATGATTCTGTGATGCTGTTAGTATTGAAAAGGATGATTTTAGAAATAAGATGTTTTGTGATGATCATGAATCTATGGCGATGCATATTGCGAGCGATGATGCCATAGTTGATGATGAACTTGGTGAAACTCTTGATGTCTTTAATTTTGTTGCAACTGGTTTAATTGAATCCAATTATAGTCATGATTTTGGTCTTAATGATACTGTTTTGGGACCCGGTGGCAAATTGAGTGAATTGCTGATTGAAACTGTAAGTAAGATCGATTTCTTGTTTAGAACTGTGGTAAATGATAGAGTAACCAGTGATATTAGGGACGGTATAGATGATAAGTTTAGTGGAGGAATTCAACTAACACTTGTGTGTTTGATCTGCGTGAATTAAATGAGTTTTTTAGGATTAAGTATTCACTTGTTGTTGACAAAGTTGGGCACTCAGTTGATAAGAAGAAACCTGAGAAGTGGGTGTTCCTATTTGATCCGGGAGGATTCCTATGTGAAGTAGTTGTGATTGATCAATTGCTTGGGGGTATAAATTCCGAAAAATGTTAGAATGTTTAGTGTTAGAAGCCTAGTCGGGAATGAAGATCGACACAGCTTTTGTTTTCTGCACAACCTTGAGGACAAGGTTGCTTTCAAGGGAGAAGGAAGAATGGAATTGTGGATCAGCAGGTCATTAGTTACCTGTAATGAATGTGGAGGTGCTATAATGGTGAGTCCGGACATTATGAATTTGGGGGTTGATCGTTTTGTATGTTTGAATGGAGGTAAGGGTAAAGATACAATGTCTAATCTGCCTGAAAATCATCTGTTATGTGAGAATTGGGTTGAAGAAGCTACTATTTTTAGGGGCGGAACTATGCCTTTAAAAATGAATGCTTGGATTAGAATGGCAACTTGTTTTAGAGGCGGGACAAGATTTTGTAATGACATTGTTGAACTGGAACAGCTGGCTTGTTATTCCGATCCTTCACATTTCTTTTTGAGTGCATATCCTCGAGTTTCAGTTGAGCTTATCTTGCATTTTCTGTTATTTTGTATGGTGCTTGAAAAGATTCTGAATAACAGTTAGACTCCACCACGATATGTGAAATCAAACATGACTTGTGATGTGAGTTGCACTGGAGATTTAGATGAAGGAACCTGTGTTGTAGTTTCCTTTTATGACATTTGTAGCCTTGAGGGAAAGGCTGGTTTCAAGGAGGGAGGAATTGTGTTATGGCAAATATGGGAGTATGAAATTTGGAATGAGGCGGATAATGTCTTGAATTGTATGTTGAAGGAGAAGTTCATCAATTATAGAATGTTATGCTCGAGTGGTGGCACCACTGAGTTCAGGAAAAGCAAAACTTCTGGTTTTCAAAGTCTGATGCAGGGGCTGCAAGTAAGTGGTTGTGAGGGTAGTATCGTAGTAATAACCATTGAAAATGATATGAACTACATTTGGATAATCGCTTGGTACACCTTAGAAGCTTTTATTGGGAAAAGAGAAGTAGTTGTTATGTACCTGATGATTGTCATTGTCAAGGTCGAGGTTTCCAGCATAATTCATCTGCAATTCGTGATATTGGTCATCTCTGGGAATCGCTTTTTGGATGTTTCAACAATTTTGGATCGGGACAAGCTAGCTGAAGTTGGTGCTGTTACAGTCAATTGTAGTCTTTTCCGGATTACTGAGTATTGATGCATTTCCTTTTAGCTTGCATTAGTTAGAGTTGGTTTTTTAATTCAAATGCTGTTGTAATGGTTCTTTACTGAAGTTTGTAGTTTCCAGTTAATTGCTGTTATAGGTGTTTTGGTTAGAAATGTAGTTGGCTTGGATATTAGTCTTGAGGACAAGACTGTTTTAAGTGAGAGGGATTGTCATACCTTGGGACTGAATTGCATGTAATCTATATATTAGGGACTTGTCTAGCAATTTTTGAAAGTCAAGTCAGAATATATAGTAGTGAGACAAATATAATAGGGTATCGAATGTCATAATTGTAAAATTGGAAACCGTTTGTTTCTTTTCTCTTAACAGCTTCATTATCGAAATTGTTCCACCTTTCCATCATCTCCGGTCGATCATAAGCTTTACCGGTGAGGGTTCCGACTTTCCATTTTTCGCTTAAATCCCCAAACCTAACATCCTATTCTTAACTTTTTTTTTTTTGAAAAAGATCCTATTCCTACCAAAATAAAAAGAAAGAAAGGAACAAAAAAGGAAAAATTTAGATGAAGGGGAAAATGTAGTATTTTTGGATAATTTGTAATTTTTTTTAAAAAAAATGATAATTTAAAAAAATGATAATTTTATATTATGGGCATAATAATTCAACTATAGTAAAATGTTGCTAAATGAATGATCTATAATTAATAATTTTGAGGCAAAATATAGTGTAGGTGGTTCGAAAAAAGGAAAAATTTAGATGAAGGGGAAAATGTAGTATTTTTGGATAATTTGTAATTTTTTTTTAAAAAAATGATAATTTAAAAAAATGATAATTTTATATTATGGGCATAATAATTCAACTATAGTAAAATGTTGCTAAATGAATGATCTATAATTAATAATTTTGAGGAAAAATATAGTGTAGGTGGGTTTCGAACCCTTGACCTCCAGTACAAATGTGAGCACTCATTCCACTGTGCCAATTATAAATTGGTCTAATAATTTTCTCTCGTCCCAACTTTGGACTTGTACAAAAAGTGAGCAAAATCAATATAATAATAAGATAATAATGTTTAAAAAAATTTTCTATGTATCTTTTGGTCCCAACAATATTATAAATTAAGAAATGATGATGACACTACTGCAGTAGTAACCACCAGTGATGTATTTGTGTACTGTGATGATGGTACAATTAATGTTGTGAGTCACGACAGTGATTGGTTCGGTGATTCAGGTGCGTCTTATCATGTGACGCCTCACATACACTTCTTTACCTCTTACACACCTGGAGATTTTGGTCGTGTAAGAATGAGCAATAAAGCCTCATGCGATGTTGTCGGCATGGGAGAGGTATCATTGGTAATGAATACAGGTTGTACTCTTGTCTTGAAGAATGTCAGACATGTTCCGGATATGCGTCTGAACCTTATTTTGTTGGAAAACTTGATGATGAGGGTTATCATAGCACTAAAGGTGGTGGTCGTTTGACAATTTCTAGAGGGAATCTTGTTATTGCTAGATGAAAGAAATTGAACTCTTTGTACGTGTTGAATGCAAAGTTGAAGAATGGAGAGGTGAATGCAACTCGCAATACCTCCATTGATCTCTGGCATAGAAGGCTTGGACACATTAGTGTCAAGGGCTTCCAAATTCTTGGTAAGAAGTAATTTCTCCCTGAGGTGAAAGGTACTGCTCTAGAACCTTGTGTTGACTGTATCTATGGTAAACAGCATAAGGTTTCCTTTCAAAATTCTCCTCCATCTAGAAAGTCCAGTCCTCTAGAGTTAGTTCATACAGATGTATGTTACATGAAAGATAGGTCGTTGGGTGGAGCATTGTACTTTGTTACTTTCATTAATGACTATGCTCGAAAGGTTTGGTGTTTTTCTTTGAAATCTAAAGATCAAGTATTAGATGTGTTCAAAGACTTTCACCTTAGAGTTGAACGAGAGATTGACAAGAACTTGAAGTGTGTGCGAGCAGTTAATGGTGGTAAGTACAGGGGTCCGTTTGAGAAGTATTGCCGAGACCATGGCATTAAACTTCAGAAGAATGTTCCGCAGACTCCGCAACAGAATGGCGTGGCAGAAAGAATGAACAGAACTATTACCGAAAAGGTTAGGTGTATGCTCTTGAATGCAAAGCTACCTAAATTTTTTTGGGGTGAAGCCATGTAGACAACAATTGATTTGATCAACCTATCTCCCTCAGTTCTGTTGGATGGTGATCTACCACAACGAGTTTGGACAGGAAAGATGTCTCATTTGGACATTTGCAAGTTTTTGGTTGTCATGCCTTTGTTCATATTCCCAAAGATGAAAGGTCGAAGTTTGATGGAAAGTCCAAGCAATGTATATTCTTGGGGTATGCCAATGATGATTTTGGGTACAGACTTTGGGATCCTGCAGAAAAGAAAGTTTTTAGAAGTAGAGATGTGATCTTCTTTGAAGACCAGACCATTGATGATATGGGAAAGGGCGAGATGCCAGAATCTTCACCTGAGATTTCTGTTGATCTAGATCTAGTTCCTCCACAATCAGATTATTCTCCTGAAGGAGGAGCTGAGACAGAGCATGATGGTGAGTTTGATGATGATCCTGCTACTGAAACAGAGACACCACCAATTTCATCACCTCCTGTTCAGCCTAGGAGGTCCACCAGAGACAAGAGACCTTCCACCATGTACAGTGCTCATGAGTATTTATTGCTTACTGATGGGGGAGAGCCAGAGTCGTGTGAAGAGGTTTCTACTCATGAGCAGAAAGATCAGTGGTTAGCAACCATGCAAGATGAGATCAAATCCTTGCATGAGAATAACACATATGACCTGGTGAATATGCCTAAGGGCAAGAGAGCACTCAAGAATAAATGGGTGTTCAGACTGAAGACAAGTGAGAACAGCTCACAACCGAGGTATAAAGCTAGATTAGTTGTGAAGGAATTCAATCAGAGAAAGGGGGTAGACTTTGATGAGATATTTTCTCCTGTTGTAAAGATGTCTTCGATCCGAGTTGTGCTTGGGATAGCGGCCAGTTTGAATCTTGAGATTGAACAGCTTGATGTGAAGACATCCTTCTTGCATGGTGATTTGGAAGAAGAGATTTACATGGAGCAACCTGATGGGTTCCAGGAGAAGGGGAAAGAAAAGCTTGTATGTCGTCTCAACAAAAGCTTGTATGGATTGAAGCAAGCTCCGAGGCAGTGGTACATGAAGTTTGATGCTTTCACAATAGGGCAGGGATACCAAAGGGCTACAGCCGATCACTGTGTGTTTTAGAAGAAATTCTCTAATGGTGATTTTATAATTCTTTTGCTTTATGTCAATGACATGTTGATTGTTGGTCATGATACTGCAAAGATTTTCAGGTTGAAAAAGGAGTTGAATAAGTCCTTTGCGATGAAGGATTTGGGTCCGACTAGACGGATCCTTGGGATGAAGACTTCTCGTGACAGACAGAATGGGAAGCTTTGTGTATCTCAAGAGAAGTATATCAAGAAGGTTCTTGATAGGTTTAACATGAGCGGTGCTAAAGAAGTCTCGACTCCACTTGCGGGGCATTTTAAGCTAAGCAAAACGTAGTGTCCTAATAATGAGAAAGATGAGGAAGAGATGAAAAAGGTTCCTTATGCTTCGATAGTTGGCAGTCTGATGTATGCGATAATTTGCACAAGGCTAGACGTAGCTCATGCAATTGGTGTTGTTAGTCGGTTTCTCTCCAATCCTGGTAAGCAGCATTAGAATGCTGTGAAATGGATTTTCAGGTATCTTAGGGGTATTTCCAGATTGAGTCTTTGATTTGGCTATGGAAAGACCATGTTGGATGGATATACAGATGCTGACACGGCGGGTGACCTTGATGGTCGGTAGTCTACTTCTGGATACTTGATGACTTTTGAAGGGGGAGCAGTTTCATGGCAGAGTAGGTTGCAGAAGTGTGTTGTTTTGTCTACTATAGAGGCAGAGTTTATCGCAGCTACTGAATCTTGTAAGGAAGTACTTTGGTTGCAGAAGTTTCTACAAAAGCTTAGTATGAATCAAGAGATGTATGTGGTGTATTGTGATAGTCAGAGCGCTATTCATTTCACGAAAAATTTCATATTCCATTCGCGGTCTAAACATATTGATGTGAGATATCGTTGGATCCGGGATGTGTTGGAGTCCAAGGCGTTGTTTCTTGAGAAGATTCATACGGATGACAACGGTGCCGATATGTTGACAAAGACTGTGAGTAGAGAAAAGCTCCTGTTTTGCAGACAGAAAGCCGATTTGGTTTTACCCCCAAATTGAGGTGAAGAGGGAGATTGTTGGGCCCGGTTCCCCTCCAATTGGGCCAACGAGAAAGGAAATAAAACCAAGCCAAGTTGGTTTTGGTTTTGACTGAGGGAAACAAAACCCTTTTGGGATTGGTTTTGATTTGGCATGACCGTAGGCTATAAAAGCCAAGGTCCCTTTGTGCTTTTAGAAGTGTGTTTCCAGCCAAGAGAGAAGTGGCAAATTAGGGTAGCCGCACACTTCTTTTGTGCGAGAGAAAAGAGAAAAAGAAACAAAGTTTCGGTTTAACTCTCTTTTGGTGAGATTCTTCCAGTTCTACTTTGTGATAGGGGTGTATGGAAGAGTATTGTTGTAATCCACCTTTGGGTGAAGTTCTCTATATCTACCGGTTGATGAAGATTGTTTCCCATTATTGTGATAGTGGAGATTTGACTGTGATTACAGTCTCGTAATTTTTCCCGATTTGGGTTTCCGCGTAAATTCGTGTGTCTCCTTTATTTTATCAGATCTTGATTATTTGCTTGTTTGGTTGTCCTATTTTATTGGTAGTAGGAAATGAGTTTTTCTTGGAAATCGTTTCCGCTGATTTGTTGTGTTTATACCCTTTCCGCCACAACAATAATCAATTTAATTAAAATTACTGAAATATCCTTAGACAATAGTGATTAAAACCCAAATGAAATCGCAAATTCTATTCGTCATCAGTTTTGCTAAAGCCTTTTTTAAGGATTGGATCCTTGTTTTTCTATTTGTTTGGGATGAGTCACGACGTCTTTGATATCTGAATTGGATTAATAAAATTGTAAAGAATAGTTCTTAATCTGTAACTTTAATAGTTATTTCGTAGGAGTATTGTCTTCTAATTACATAGGCTTTTGATTGATCATAATTAAGTTTTGCGTTTTTTTACTCCCTCCTTCCCATAATTATTGTCGAGTTTGGGTTTTCATTTTTAGTTCAAATTGTACTCAAAGTGAAATTTCATACTGGATAATAATTTTGGGACAGAGCGAATATAATTTCTCTTGAACTTTATCAATTGAACTTGTGACACCATTTTGCCTACTTAAATGAGTATTTTACTTATTTGTTTTGGATATGACTAGTTTAATTTTCTTCTGTTAGGTGCAAGTTTATGAAACGAATGTCTATGGACGAAGTTTTGGATCAAAAGCGATTGAATATTTTCATTCCTTCTTTTGGGGGGGAAAAAAAAACCCATTTCTGTAGTTGCTGCGAAATTTTTCTTGGAGAAAAAGCAAAAATAAAAACACCACGATTTTATACTTGCTTCCTTCCTCAGCGTAGTTAAGTTACTTTTACCTTTTCGAAGGAAGACCTCATAACAAAACTTGTTCATAAGATCCAAAAGTATCATGAGATTAGACCGACTTCATGGGGTTCCCTATTGATTCCGCCCAGTCATTTTGATTCCAATCATGCCACATCTTATTTATAAAGAGAAATATCTAAAGGAACATCGATCAAAATTCAGATGAAGAAACTTCTAATTTACATTATCTTCCACTAATTTTTAAGAACATGTAATCCACTCAGTCACCGACATATATTCGATGTGTTATTGCATTCTCCAAACTTTATGGCTTTCCAGGTTGAACTTTTTAAGCCTTCCAAAGAACATCACAACGATGAGAATTAATTTGCCTTTGTTGCTCCATTTTCCAGCGAATCCGTATGACGCATCTTTGCAACTTTCATTAGCTTTTATTTGTCTTTTACAACTGTAGCCCATTGAGAAGCCAACATTTCTGTAGGCACTGTATGAAATCATTTATGACAGAGTATATATAGATTAGTTTCCGTCCCAAAATAAAAATCATGTATGATATGTTATAAGACGGCCTGATTAAATTACCTGATGACTTCAACAACTATATTCAACAAGCTAAAATTGAGAGGGTCTTCTTTCAGTTTTTCTCTCTCAGCAATGCAGACGAGAATAATAAAAATGGCTAAGTAGGTTAGTTGTGAAAAAAATAGGTAGGAAATGATATTCCTTTTCCGGTCGGTGGCAGTTTCTGCCTCATCTGCTTCAGTTGATGAGGTTTTGGCATCCTCAGTTGGTAAAAAGCAAGTGTATGGAGGCAAATACCTGACACAATCAATAGAAGAATTTTTTTTGGTACAATGAAGAAGATCAAATGCTGTCAAACGAGAAAAAAAAAAAAAAAAAAAGAGAGAGATCAAAGGCTTAAAATACCAAACGACCATATTATATAGATGGAAGCTCACAACCAAGTTCTATTCTAGTTACGTGAGTGAAATTAAAAACCCAATAAGAAATATCAATTACTACCTCCTAATTTTGTATACAATGCAAGATACTATACTGTAATTCAATCAATTAATTTTTCCTAACTTTTTTTTAAAAAAATCTCAGCTGATTCCTGAAATTTTTTTTTTTTTGGGCTATAAATTTGTTCTAGAATTTCCCCACGTTTACAATTTGATCATTTCTATTCGTAGTTTTCTCCATTGACTACATTGATGATGATGATAGTGAACGCAATTGGTCAATTTTCTTTAGAGTCACATCCGAACTAGAATAAATACAATGTAAACAGTTTTCCTCTTTTTTTTTTTGGGATAGAAACAATCTTTACATTTTTAGAATTTTTCAAAAGATTATAAATCGTCATTTCACTTCACCTATATATAAATATTCGAAATTCTAACAAGTTCTCCACCATCGTCAACATCTCTCATTTCCGTCAATCATATTCTAATCAACACCATTAACATGACCTTAATTTGAATTTCCACCCATAGTCCACTACTGATATTATTTGATTGAACAATTAATATTGTTCCGGACTTAGACGGAAGTCATCAATTTTGAAATTTGAAGTATTATTATTTTATTTATCTGAATATTGATTTAATTGTATTTTCTAGGTTGTTTGAACACGAGAGACCTGGATCTAATTAACTTGTTGAAACCTAGTTACTTTAATAAAATTATTACGCCATCTCTAACCTAAGACTAAGCTCAATTCTAATTTATTAAATGCTTAAGTCAAAACACAAAGAACAATTTACATCACTAATCAAAATTAAGTAAAATCTAGACCTAGCTATGCTTTTTCCTTAAAAAAAAATATCATATACCTACACAAATGAAAAGACCTTGATCCAATATTCTTAATCTCATATGTCTGCCGAAGAAAGGCTATAAAAGTATTTTGGGGGCGCAGGGGTTGTGAGAGTATCTACCATACGCTAACACTTTTTTTTTGGAGTTTCTTTTGTGAATTTAATTTTTTTAAAAATCAAAATCAAAAGGACGTGGATTTTTCTAAGAACACAAAGACTTCTTCTCTCTATCTTTTTTTTTTTTCTTTTGTTGTTTTGGTAAAAAGGGAATTGGAACACGACATTAATTCCTGATCATATATAATTCACCCTTTAAATGGTACTATATGTATCAAACGCGTTTGGAATTTGTACGAAATATCTTTTCATGAGCAGAATATTTCCAATTCCATTTCATCATGCTTTTTAGTCGATGTCTCACAGATAAACATGGAGAATATGCAAATACAAATGGACCCCTCTTCTTTTCTAAGTTCGTTAAGAGTTGTTTTTAACTGTAAAAGCACATGACATGTACTCTATACACACACCAATATTACTGCTTGCTTTTCTATTAAGTCCGTATCTGATACGGAGTATATGATAATCATTTTGTTTGTACTCGTAACAAGGACAGTAAATATATTAATTAATAATATGCATGCATTAATCAAGTGAAATGAGATGAAAAAGAACGAGTGAATAAGACAGTTAAACTTACATCATAATAACGAATATGACAATCATTGCTGGGCTGATCAAGGAAAGGTCGAACACGGATTCACCGGAATGCCTTGAATTTACAACTTGAAACAACGACCCAACCACTTTTTGATATCCACTCATTCCAGAAGTGGCCTCAGAGTTCCATTCCAAAACCCCGAAAACCGAAAACTGAACAGCCACAAAACCAGCAACCGTAACGGCCAGAGACTTGGAATGTAGAGAGGTGAACAGATGATCATATCCTAGGACTTTGGGATTCTTAAGGATGTATTTCAGCTCCGGTCTTTTCGTGGTCTTGTGCAATAGCCACATGAAGCAACGAAGGCAAGCTGGATATAATGTGTTTCCTAGGAGGACTTGTGGGATGATGATGAGTAAAAGGCCAGAATTCTTCTTGAAAATCATCATATTTTCATTGGTTGGGATGAACCCACAATTAGCAAAGGTGGAAACTGTTGTGAATATAGAAAATGTTGCCAAATTCAGCCCTTTTTCCCTCAGAACTTTCTTTGCATTTGAGATAATTTCAAAATATGTGTAGATCAAAGTAGATCCAAGAAAATGTACTAATAAGAGGTAGCAAACAACAATAGAAGCTAAGATATTTTCAAAAGCGATATTTTTACTATTTATTGTAATCAAATCCTGATCTTGATTTTGATGATGATGATGATGATGACCCTCCAAAGATTTTTGGTCGTTTTCAAGAACAACCGAGAGATTAATGACTCCAAGCTCAATTTGATCCAAATTATCATCGCTTTGTGTATTGGCTATTTTTGGGTCTTTGGTTCTCTTGAGCTTCATGAATTGAAGAGCAAGCAAAGAAGTTAAGACTTCACCTCCAAGGAACATTAGAAAGGTCATGATGATGAGTTGGGCATTGGAGAAAACCTCCATTTCTACTGTGGACATGCTCGAAACAGTCACAGAAGAAACCGAAGTGAAAAACAAATCAAAGTCTTCAGGAGTAAAGGATGCATTTTCCCTTGGAGTTGAGGCTTTCAAAGCCAAAAAACCTAATGTTGCGAAGATTATGAAGTAGGTGAGCTCGATCCAGAATGAACTGACTTGAAGCAAAAGTATGCGAAGAAAGTGAAAAATGGAGTTGCGGAAACATGCAAATTTGGTGCTGATTTTTAAATGGTTAAAAAGAGAGTGCTTCATTTCCTTTTCCTTAAACTAGGTTAATTTTTTAGGTGATACTACTTGTAGAGGAAGAATTATTTATAGTAGAGCACTGTTTATCCGAGAATAATACTCCTCTTACTCTCAAAGGGCCATAATTCGCCAATAATACATTGACCTTTCGTGCACCAATAAGAATATCTATTTTCCCTTGACCGTTTATCACATACCTGAAATCTTTCATGCATAAAAGATTCGAGACATTTTCCCGACTCTCAATCTAATGCATAGAGTATTTAACTCAGACCAGTCTCTTTTAGAGTATAATATCATGCTCCAAATGTAGACCGTAACTAATATGTAGTACAGAACTCCCAACCACCTTAATTTGCAAACAACTATCAATTGGTAAAAAGCATGATAAATAATGAGGAAAAAGAATATTCCTTCAGTAATAGAAGAACGAGAATGAGTTGAATACATATGATGATGGGTATATGTACTGTGGTAACTGGTAACTAGCTTGAAAGAATTTTCTCTATATTCTGATTAGCTCTGACAATAAGGATGAACATTTAGTGTCATTCAATATGAGAACAAAAGTTATTAAGTGATAGGAAATAAATATCAAAGGATATACAGTATTAATTCTTTGGCTTTGTTCATAATTTTTTTTTATGGGAGTCCCTTGTTTTAAAAAGGAACCTATAATTAGAATAATGATGAGATATATATTATAAACGTACGTACTAAATTGGAAAATATGTTTACCTATAATAAAAAAAGATATACATATATATATATATATATAAAATATTCTAGAGTATAGTTTATTTTTTGTATTGTTTTAATTTTAAAAATAAATTATTTTTGTAGAATGGTGGGAGAGTATTCATTGGTCAATTGTGATGGCATGCATGTCTACAAATTGCGGTCAATAAAGATATTTAAGTTCTGTTTCAAAGAATATAAATGAAATTTATCTCAATCACTCCAAGAAAAAAAAGTTATGTTATAACGCTCGCCTAAAAGGATAGGAAGAAATGTTATGCTCAAGACTCAAGAGAGTCAAGTCTATTCAAGTACTCAACAACTGTTTGATCAAACGTTAAATGTATTCTACTTTTCTTCTTCTGCGTCAGATCAGATATTCCTTGACATATTTCATTTCTTGTCTACCACAATTTCTGAACAGAAGAAAGAAACATCGTTGGATTGAAGCCACTTGGATTCCATCAAAGCCAACAAATCTATGTGGGTACAAAAATATTCCAAATATATCAAACCAAAATTTGCATGCCTGCATGTTTTTCTTTTTCTTTTTTTTTTTTTTGGATTAAATCCTCGATACAACACCTGTTGCACTACGTATAATTGTACAGTCAGGGACAGAGTAAATATGGTTGTAATTTTACCTGGAAACTTACCAACAAGCTAGGAGAGCTATGATATGCTATTAGTTAATGGGTATGTTGCTGTGAAAAATTGGCGGTTTATTCAAAAAATTTCAGAGTGTCATCAATTTACTCTGTATAAATACAACCACGAGTTACAAATATGTAATGATAAAATGTACAAATAATTCTTTAAATATAATACATATTATTATTGTTATAAAAGTAGTAAAGATAAATAGAATGAAATAGGAAAAAGATAAATACAAGTAAAAAAGGGACTTTTTATTTTTACATATTTTAAAAATTACTTTTATAATTTGCTGAAACCATTAGGGGATAATTATAATTAAATCCCTGGTTTAATTGAAAAAGTAACGGATATCAGTCAAGTTTGATGGAAAAAATGCCAACTGAACAAAATTGTACAAAATTGACAACGTGAAAATGTTTAGAGTAACATTCCTAAATTCTTTTATTAGAACCGCGCGCCAAATATACTATGTTGTTGCACTTAAGAAGGAAATGGAGCTGCTGTATAGCAAAAATTTTTGGGGTTACTTGGAAGGCATGTTAATTAGGACTTTGGACTGATTTTCTTAATAGAATGATAATACACATCTCGCAATGATTCATTTCACACAATGATTTTACATTACATGGCATTTTTCAATTAGTTATAATACATGTAATCTGAAAAAAACTAATACAGCAGAACGTCAGTAAATTACTAATCGATAAATTAATAACTTCTAATAATTAATAATTTCCTTCGATCCCAACTTGGGACTAGTACAAAAAGTGGAAAAAAATCGATAAAATGATAAGATAATAATGTTTCAGAAAATCCTCTATATATCAATAGGTCCTGACAATACCAGAAATTAATAATACCCTATATATAAAAAAGTAATGATAATATTTTATAAATATTTATGAGAATATGAACTATTAATATTTTTTTTAGTATGAGATAATGATGTGAGCTACGTTTAGATTTTAGTATCTAAAGAAGTTCCATTACTTGCTTGATTTGGATGATAGATAAATAAAAATTAGATAATTTAGTAAGGATTATTTGTTTTTCTTACGAAAATTCTTTAAAATAATAATTTATTAATTTGTCTATTATTTAATAATTCTCTAAATTAATAATTTTTGGTGTTCCCGTTACTATTAATTTATTATAGTTCTACTGTATTAACAAATAAGTGAATGTCTGTCACATTGTGATATACGTATATAATTGAATTTGGTGATATCTATGCTTAGTAGGTAAATACGTAAATAATTGTTTAGTAGGTACATATTTTGTGAGGTTGAGAGCTCTATGTTAATATACTGAAATGATAAAATATTCTCATATGCACTAAGAACAGTCCAAAAAATGTTCCTTCATTCAGGTAATAAAGTTCGGATAGGAAATTTTTTTTTAATTAATATATGTTACGGAAAGCATAAATATTTTCTACACAAACATAAACAATAAAAATAATACAAATACCATCTGGCCAGAGCTTGCTTACTTGAAGAAAGGAAAGTCGAATTGTTTAGCTGTTTGGGTGATACCCCCAATCCTTAGACACTCTTTCTTCCTTCAATTGTCCTGCTTAGAGAATGGTTTCTTCTTGTTTTGATGAATTTTACTATTCCCTGTCCAAGAGAGCAGAGTGAAAGGTGATAACGGCCGAGTGATTTTGACGAAGAAAAGTAAAAAACTGGGCAGAGGAGAAGAATTTGAAGAGTCGAGCTTTTTTCTCTCCTAGATCGTTTAATCTGCGGCGATTAATCTTCTCGGGGGCCAAGTTAAGGTTTTTTTTAAAAAAAAAAACAAACACCAAAAGCAATTTAGGGGCCAAAGCCCGAACATGAGCTTTGTTGGGCTATTAATTTAAAGGAATTGGGTTTCGAGGCTACAAATTAATGGGCAAACTGTCATGAACTGGGGACTTGATTGTCCTTCTTTCATAATCCAGGGGTTAGATTGTAATTATGGAAACTATATTGACTATAAATTGTCAAACCAGTTTGTAAAACGAATAGGCAAAATATGAGTATTGAATTGAATATGTAAAATTCCCTTTTCTCTCCCCGATCTTCTTCCCGGATCTCTTCTGTTACTCCGTTCTTACCCAATTCCATCGCCGGAGTTCCGGATCATGACACAAACTTTTCCACATAAAATCTTGCATCCAATAGCTTAAGCATATTATTACCGGTATTAATATGTCATGGATTAAACTATTTACTTAAATTATTAGCTTGAAAATTAAACTAGAGCGGCAGTTCGGCCTCTCTTTCTCCTTCTCCATCAATTCAATAAATCTATGAAATTTTATATCAATTGGCCTTCAAAATTAGGAAGTTTATTTAACTGTTTATTGATTCCTTTGTCATCGGTTCTACCTTATTCCCTTCATTACTTAGCTAATTGAGTAACAATCGTTCTCTCTTCCCCTCCTCTTTCTTTTTCTGCCGCCTAATTTTTTTCCCCATCTTTCATTCCATGGGAGGATGAGGGAGATAATTTGTCTCTCCTTCTAGTTTTTCTTTAATTGAATAAATTTATTTATCAGCATATCTTTAATTTAATGGGCGTATTATTATCCCTCAGTAGATCTTGATCTACTGGGTGTTAGTAGTCTGTCAATAGATTTCATTCTATTGATCGTAATTTTGTTCATTTGTGATTGTGTGTGATCTTTTAATCTATGGTTTTTCTATAAGTTTACTCCTATGATTCATAATCATAGTTTATGTTTGAGGATTTGCAGTTAAAGTAGATCTGTTTTATGGGGTCTTAATCTGATGATAAGTTAAGTATTCGAGATCGGAGATTTTCTTTGGTACATGATAGATTCCAACAAATATTAACGAATGCTACGTAAGAGTTTGTGATTTGACCGTGCAAAGTGAGGATGGTCAATTGATTCCTTGATATTGAATTATAATAAATCATAATATGTTAGTGATTGTAATTGTCTTTCAATCATAGTTAGACGTTTTCTAATAAAGTTAATGAAAGTTTCTTTTATCTTAAAAAAATTGATATGCATGAGTGCCAAAGGTCGAGATGCAATTATAAAAACAATATCACCTCTGCCCTAGGAAAATAGTCCAATTTTATAAATATAAATCTTAAAATTCCACTTATGAGATTGGTATATCCTAAAATTGATTATTAAATTTATAAATAGCCATGAAACTTTCAATTTTCAGATTAATTTTTTAATTTTTAAGATTAAGCCACTAATTTTTATATTTTAGTTTTTTAAATTGGACTATTTTTCTGAGACATAATTTTTATGATGATTTTATTTTACAATAAAATTTTATTTTGTACAACAATAAAAAATTAAGGGAAGAAAATTTTTTTTGAACATGATTTTAATGTAGAGATTGTAGAGGATACAAAAATATTCT